CCCCCAGTGGTTAGTTTCATTTCTGCCGCCTTCTTTTGGGGGCGGGGGGGAGAGATCTGATAGGAAAATATTTCCATTGCCTATGGCTGAAGTTATCCTAAGGTTTGGGGGCTATGAAAGGACTCTTTTAGGAGCCTGGGGGCACAGGACCTAGATTGGTGTTACATTAATCGGGGTTGATTTTATTACTTGGATAATAAACTGCTTTGTGGTCCGGAGAAAAAGACAGGCTAACTCACATTCTGAAAGGGAAGTTTGAACCAGAAGGTTTCTGTAAGTTGGTTGTTGTTAATGTGGAGTGGATTCCACCTTACAGCCACCCCACATGTGCCTAGGCAGTGGCCTTTCAGAAGCAATTCACCAGGCTTGTCTTCCCAGCCCCCTCTGGATGAGTCTGAACTGCCATTGTTTTGGCTAGTAGTGAGCACTTAACCCTTTGTGCCAGTCAGGGATTCCCCTCTGTTAGCTGGGATTCTAGTAATTATTTACTTGCTCTTGCGCTTAAGGATGGCAGATGGCTGACATGACTAGCTTTGAAGTGGGAACCGCTGTTTTTGCCCCTCAAAATCATACATAGGCTAGTACATGGTCAGAAAGAGCTTACATCATCAGTTATCCTCAAATCTTTTCAAAAGCCCAATGATTTCCCAGAGGTTAACCAGTGCCCCCCTTTTTAATGCAATCCCAAGATCATCTGATGTAGCCCCTTTAGTTCATATCGTCTCCTGAAGTCTCCTGAGGGTCTGGCAACATGGGAAAGGAACCCACAGAACATTTCGTCGCTTAGTTTTGTTCCAGCCTTCTTTCCCACTACTTGCTGACTCTGACTGGTTCCTGTCTATATATTTGATTTTCCAGGAACACTTATTGGCAAGAGAGCTAGTGAATAGTGACAACGTGGTCCCTATGCAGGTGGCAGAGGCGAGAACAAAGCCTCTGCTAAGTTAATCTGCAACTGGGTCACCCTTCATTCATCCACCCTTTTACTCGGCTAATAACTAGGGAGCATACTTTGTGTGGCTGCGATTGTTCTAGGTGCTGGGAACACAGAAGGAACAAGACAGGGTCCCAGCTCCCATGGGGTGGACAGATAATGAACAAACTAAACCAAAGACCGGCCTGGCTGCCGTTCAGTGGTCAGAGAGAGGTAAGGCCAGGTCATAGTAAGGAACTTGGTTTTCATTAGAATTGCAAAGTCAGGGGAGGGTGTTAAGCAGGAAAGTGACATGAGCATTTTGTCTGCCTGTCCTTCCATCAGGCATTTGAGTCTTTGTTCCAGGAACAACTTCATTAACTGAGTTGGATCCTAGTGACACTTTCACCATAGTTGGAAGGAACAACAATAAATCTGGCCACCTCCCAGGAGAGCAAGTCAACTGCAGCCTGCTTCCTATGCTGTTATGTTGTTAGGTGCCTTCAACTTGGTCCTGACTCATAGCGACCCTACGCAACAACAGAAGGAAACGTGCCTGGAGCCGTCTCACAACTGTTGTTATGTCTAAGCCCGTTGTTGCTTCTGCTGTGTCAGTCCGTCTCTTTGTGGGTCTTCCTCTCTTTTGCTGACCTTCCACGTTTCTAAGCATGATGTCCTTCTCCAGTGACTGATTCTTCCTGACAGCTTGTCCAAAGTACGAGAAACAAAATCTTGCCATTCTTGCCTCCCAGAAGCATCTAGTTATACTTCAAACAAATTTGTTTGTTCTTCTGGTGGTCCGTGGTACTGTCATAATTAAAATGTGTTGGTTCTTCTACAGTTTCCCCTATTCATTGTCTGGCTTTCACTTCAAATGAGGCCCTTGAAAATACCATGGTTTAGGCCAGTCAGGTGCACGTTAGTCCTCAAAGTGACATCTTTGCTCTTGAACACTTTAAAGAGGGTCTGTGCGGCAGATGTGCCTAATGCATTACGTTGTTTGATTTCTTGACTGATGCTTCCATGAGTGTTGATTGTGGATCCAAGCAAAATGAAATCTTTTACAACTTCAATCTTTTCTCTGTTTATCGTGATTTTATTTATTGTTCTAGTTGTGAGGATCTTTGTTTTCTTTACATTGAGGTGTAATCCATACTGGAGGCTGTGCTCTTTGATCTTCATCAGTAAGTATTTCAAGTCCTCTTTGTTATTGGCAAGCAAAGTTGTGTCATCTGTATATTGCAGATTGTTAATGAGTCTCCCTCCATTACTGATGCCACATACTTCTTCATACAGCTTCTCAGATGATTTGCTCAGCATACAGATTGAATCAGTACAGTGAAAGTTGCTTTATATCGAATACAAACATACAGCCTATGAAGCCTAGCATGTAGCCTCCACAGCATAGATAGTATCTGGTGTACACAGAACAGTCTGACTGAATCACAGATTGTTTTACAGTGAGAGAATCTGGGTGACAGACAGTCTTCAACTGCTCCGCTGAATTTTTGTATCAATGGGCTGCACCATAAACAAAACAAGGTGAAATATTCCTGGGTTTCAAGTTGGGCTGCGATAGATAGTTACAGCTCCTGCATCCGTCTAGCTAGAAGGTGAAGTTGCTACTCTCCTTTTTGCTCCTGCTCTGCTTGTCATCTTGGTGGCCTCATTAGTGCTTTATGACTAATCACGCCGCAGCTCTTCTTTCCCGGGAGAACCTGGGGAGCTACCGCACATGGCTGACAGTGTTCTCCTAACAGGGGGAAGCCAAGAATACAACTGTGAAAGCTCAGTTTTCAAAAGACAGCTCGCCCGTCCTAAACTGGCAGGCTGGGCTGTGGATTAGCTATGTACTTCGGCATTATTGAGAAATGACAGCTCTGTGACCATTTACACTTACTGGGGAAGAAAGAACCAACACAGCATAGATGGGAGAGTAATAGGAGGCTGTAGGTTCCAACCACCAAGCTTCAGTTAGCAGTCAAGCACTTAATTGTTGAGCCACCAGGATGCCTATGTACTAAGTAAGGAGCACTGCATAGTACAGTGGCTCTGTGGGCTAATGCACTGGACTGCAAAGGCGGCTCGAACTGCAAGGTCAGCGGTTAAAGCTCACCAGCTACTCCTTGGAAACACTATACAGGGTTGCTAAGGGTCGGAACCAACTCGATGGCACTCAACAACAACAAACAACATATAGCACAGTGGCTCCATACAATAAGCACTGAACTGCAAACCACAAGGTCCGTGGTTCTAGCCTCCCAACTGCTCCATTGAAGAAAGGTGAGGCTTTCTGCTCCTGTGAAGATTTGCAGCCTCAGGAACTCTATACAGACAGGGTCGCTATGAGCTGCAACTGGCTCCACAGCACTTAATAACAACAACCTCAAAATTCATAAGACTAAACTGGAATCGAGCCATATACTCATCAAACGTGGTGTGCATAAATGCATTGTGGTACATCCCATAATGGAATATTACACACAAACTAGGTAAACAGTTGACAGCTATACACAGCAGTGAGGATGACTCTCACAAACATGATGTTAAGCAAAAGAAGCCAGATAAAGAGTGCATCCATCTTGACTCCATTTTTATAGAGAGTATGGGCAGACAGGACAACGCTATGATGTTAGACATCAAGACAAGGGTTTCCTCGAGGGGGCAGTGACAAGGGGACAGAAGAGGGTTGTCTGGGTGCTGGCAGCCTGTGGCTTCTTGATCTGCATGCTGGTTACACAGGTCTATTCCACTTGTGAATATGTGTCAAGTTGTGCACAGGATTGCCTTAATTTTCTATATTATGTTGTGTGCCGTTGAGTTGATTCTGATTCATAGAGACTTCTGTAAGGCAGAGTAAAACTCTCCCCACAGAGTTTCCATCTTTACGGAAACAGATTGCCAGGCTGGTCTCCTAAGGAGTGGCTGATGGGTTCCAACTGCCGACCTTTCACTTTGGAACTGAGTGCTTAACCACTGCTCCACCAGGGTTCCTTATTACTGTGTATGCCAATAAAAAGCTTAAAGGAAACCAAACTCGTGTGTCATTGATGAGAAGAGGTCATGTGCCCTTTTCTGAGCGTGCCCTTCCTTGCAAAGGGATGGACACCTTAGAGGACCTGGCTTACAGTCACAGGGAGACGTCTGAGAGCCTTTTTCTGTCTCAGGCAAACCTGTCGATCTCCACCTGGATCCATGCTGTACAGAGCCTGTCTTTCTCACACATGTGCAAGCTCTGGGAATACAGCTCAGTCTAACTACTGGGCAATAGCAACTCTTGCAATTCAGATTCAAGGATATTTAGGCTGTTTCTCAATTAGCTATTCAC